ATTTATCCATTTATCTATGTACTTATGCTTTTATCTATACATTTATTTATGCATTTATTTATTTAATTATATTTTTTATTTATTGGTTTTATGCATTCATTTATTTATGCATTTATTTATTTACACATTTATTTGTTTTATGCATTTATTGTAAATTAATTAATGTATGCATATATTTATGCATTTATTTATGCATTTATTTACATATTTATTTATGCATTTATGTATGCATTTATTCATTTATAAATTTATGATTTTTATTTATTGATTGATTTATTTATTTACACATTCATTTATGCATTTATTTATGCATGTATGTGTTAATATATGCATATTCTTCTTTGCATTTTATTATTTTATCCAAGAGTCTACAATATGACAATACAAAATGACAATATATAATATGGACAAAATAAAAAATCCTTCATTTTCTTTTATGCTCAATCGTTTGTGTTATGATGTCACAAAATGCATTGTATGCAGTAATACTTTTTCATAATTTATATTACACGTCATTATAGGAGGCAGATAGAAGCCTGAGTTAAACAACATTGTGAGAAAGTTGCAATCTTTAAAGTACAATATTTAGATTTTGCATTTTATTATTATAACTGTTTATCTGTAATCATTCTTTTTTGAAAATGTTTTATATTTTATTCATATAAATTTTAGATTTCTACATTTTTTAATCAAAGGCCAATGTGGTCAATAAATACTGTGTATAAATGAATAATATATTATATTTTCAGAAATGGTATTATATCGTGATACATATCGTTATCAGGATATAGGACTTCTATTGGACTACTTTTATCCATCTATACTTTTATGTGTTTATGCTATATTTTATGAAATGTCTTGCTACTTATATCCCTGCTGCTACAGATAGATTTCAATAACAATCAGATATATGTTGGACTCGCAGTGGACTCTGGCTCTGGTTGGTGATGAGTGAACTATATCTGCAGAGATGAAAGGGACAAATTGATTTTCCCCTCTTAAAATGGCTTTCCAGGGCTCTGTCTTGAAGCTAATTTTGCACCGAGAGCTAATTTTAGAGCCTTGGTCATTATGATGGAGACTCCAGTGCTTAATTTTACTAGCAGAACATCAGTATAGTCTGAACTGAGCAGGTAGTGTCCATCAGACCTTTTAGCTCGATGGTGTTGTGTTTTTAGTGTTTAACATTAGAAACCAGCTCACTTAATGCATCCATACACATATAGCACACACACTTAGTCAGGTCAGAGGTCAAAATACGCTGTTGAAGTCGTCGCAGGCCAGAGGTCAAAACACAGTTTGGGCTCAAAAGGCAAACACTCTGTTTTATAAGAAGTGAAAACTCTGATGTCAAAGGTCAAACACAGTCTGAGGTCAAAGGTCAAACACTGTTTTAAAAGAAGTCAAAATTCTGATCTCAAAGGTCAACACACTCTGAGGTCAAAGGTCAAACACATTGTTTTATAAGAAGTCAAAATACTGATGTCAAAGGTCAAACACAGTGTTATATTATGTTCAGAGACACTCTGATGTCAAAGGTCAAATGCACTTATATTTTTGTCAATACAAGCTCTCATCTCAAAGGTCAAAGTCACTGGTACATTAAGGTCAAAACACACTCTGATGTCAAAGGTCAAACACACTTATATTATGGTCAAAACAAACTCTGGTGACAAAGGTCAAAGACCCTGTCAAAGTTCAAACACAGGTCAAGCATACTCTGATGTCGAAGGTCAAACACATTTCTATATTAGATGTCAAAACACACTCTGATGTCAAAGGTCAAGCCCACCCCGATGTTAAAGGTCAAACACTCTCTGACATCAAAGGTAAAAGAACACATTTTTAACGAGGTCAGAGGTGAGAACACACTCTCAGTAAGGTCAAAACACACTCTCAGTGAGGTCAAAGGTCAGAACACACTCTCAGTGAAGTCAGAACACACTCTCGGTGAGGTCAGCAAAACACACTCTCAGTCAGGTCAAAGGTCAGAACACACTCTCAGTGAAGTCAGAACACACTCTCGGTGAGGTCAGAGGTCAGGACACACTCTCAGTCAGGTCAAAACACACTCTCAGTAAGGTCAAAGGTCAGAACACACTCTCAGTGAAGTCAGAACACACTCTCGGTGAGGTCAGAGGTCAGGACACACTCTCAGTCAGGTCAGAACACACTCTCAGTGAGGTCATAGGTCAGAACACACTCTTGGTGAGGTCAGAGGTCAGAACACACTCTCAGTCAGGTCAGAACACATTCTCGGTGAGGTCATAGGTCAGAACACACTCTTGGTGAGGTCAGAGGTCAGAACACACTCTCGGTGAGGTCATAAGTCAGAACACACTCTTGGTGAGGTCAGAAGTCAGAACACATTCTTGGTGAGGTCAGAGGTCAGAACACACTCTTGGTGAGGTCAGAGGTCAGAACACATTCTTGGTGAGGTCAGAGGTCAGAACAAACTCTTGGTGAGGTCAGAGGTCAGAACACACTCTCAGTCAGGTCAGAGCTCAGAAGACACTTTTGGTGAGGTCAGAGGTCAGAACACACTCCCAGTCAAGTTAGAACACACTCCCGGTGAGGTCAGAGGTCAGAACACACTCCCGGTGAGGTCATAGGTCAGAACACACTCTTGGTGAGGTCAGTGGTGAGAACACACTCTTGGTGAGGTCAGAGGTCAGAACACACTCTGTAAGCTCCTACACTGAGTGCGAGCTGTTGTGTTGTGTGTACAGTACGTCTCTCTCTCTCTGGAGTCTGCTGTCAGTGTTCTGTCTGCTGGTCTTGTCTCACATCTCTGTACTGTTGTCTCTTCTCTTTCTCTCTGTTCTGTTCGTCTGTTGACTGTGAAGTTGAGCCCTAGTGCAGTGGAGGATGACAGCAAGCTGTCGGTAAGTGTTGTCCATGTCTATGTGTGTCTGTGATGTGTTGTAAAGCATGACAACTAACCAAACCCTCTGATCCTCAGCAGAAGAAGATAAATAGATAAAGGATGTGTAGAAATGTGTCCCAAAAGCCCAGTGTTTCTGTTACTGTATGCTGGACTGGGTAACTGGCGGACTCATAGGTATGGGGATGGATGGATGGGTGGATATAATAATGTCAATGGATGGTGGGATGAATAGAATGGTTTGGATGGATGGACAGATTAATGGACGATGAATGTTGAGGATGATGTGGACGGATGAATTGATGGATGTAAGAATTGTGTGGATGGATGGAGAGATTGATGATGATTGGATGGAATGGTGTAGATCAGGAGTCACCAATCTCATTCCTGGAGGTCCGGTGCTCTGCAGGGTTTAGCTCCAACTTGTCTCAATACATCTGCCTGAATGCTTCAAGTATACCTAGTGAGAGCTTGATTAGCTTGCTCAGGTGTGTTTGATTGTTGTTTGACACCGGCCCTCCAGGAACAAGTTTGGTGATGCATGGTGTAGATAGATGTGTGGGTGAATGGATGGGTATAATAGTATGGATGGATGATGTATCGAAGGGGATGGATGTAAAGATTGAATGATGATTGTTGGATGGAATGGTGCAGATGGATGGATGAATGGTATAATAGAGTGGATGGATGGATAGAATGGTGTATATGTATGAGTGGATAGATGGACAGATAGAATGGTGTGGATAAGTGGATGAATGATGCATAAAATGGTGTGGTTGGATAGATGGATAGATGAGTGATGGATGATGGTTGGATGATAGATTGGAAGATTGATAGAAAGATGTACATGGTTGGGTTCATGGATGGATTGTTGGATAGAATAGATAGGTAGATGGATGGATGGATGTATAAGTGAACTGATGGATGGACGGATGGATGGGTGGATGGATGGATAGATAGATGGATGGAAAACTGATTGGCTAAATGGATGGATGGATGGATGGATGGATGGATGGATGGATGGATGGATGGATGGATGGATGGATGGATGGATGGATGGATGGATGGATGGATGGATGGATGCT